AACCTTCTAAAAGGAAGCTTAAACTCGGGGCATTTCTGCAATGACCAACCCATCAAAAGGGCAAGCCATGTTTTTAAGAACCTCAAGATTTAAATCTAAAAACACCAGTTGCTTGGTTTGGTTGGGATATGACGGGAAAGAAAAGACAACTGGGTTTTTGTTTACTTATTTTGAAGACTCCATTCACCTCAGCATTTAACAATCCATTTACGTTCACTTTTGGTCCCTTTCCCACAGTACCTCTTTCCATTCTGTTTTTTTTTTTACTTTTACTAAAACTTCCCGAAGATTATTATATTGGAAGGCGGTCATAGCTCAATGGCTTGATGAGTGGGTTTCCCCACCCAGCACTGAATCTACCTGTAAGAGTTACAGAGGGACTGAGCATATTCACTAAGATGAAACACTCATACTTCTGAACAATCTGTATTATTCTCGGCCAAAGTCAGGTAATCACAACATTAATATTGAATTCAATGACTAAACAGTAGTTGCTCAGTAAAGGTTTATTGCCTGGAACTAAAAGTTATCAGAGTGTGTGGGAGTACAGAGAGAAGTTTTCCCATAGATTGTCCCCCAGATTTTAATGCTGGCCTGTGTCCCTTGGCCTCAACTTACCTTTTCTTGAAAATTTCGATGAGGAAGACATATCTACACACAGAATCCCAGACCTTTAAAGATGAAAGACACCTTGTAGATGTGCACACCCTCAATTTCAGGCTACAGAACAACATGGGAGAAGGTAGTTTCCTACAGATAACAAGGTCAGACAGGAATTCATTTTATCTTCCTAGTTGTTCAGTCTGTATGCAGACTGTAGCATATGAAAACTGGGCTAGACACAGAGGAAAGAGTACTGAAAATTGTTGGAAGAAACATCAACAATTTAAGTTATGCAGATGACCCCATCTTACTGGCAGAGAGTAGTCATGATTTGAAATGACTTCTCATGAAAGAAGAAAGTGCCAAAGCAGGACTGAATTTGAACATCAAGAAGATAAAATTATGACCACGAACGAAATATACAACTTTAGCACAAACAACAAAGACAATGAAATTGTTAAGATTTTGCTTACTTCAGTTCAATCATCAATTAAAATCAAGACTTGCAGCCAAAAATCAGGAGAAGGCTGAGATTCAGAAGGGAAGTAATGGAAGAATTAGGAAAGATCCCCAATGGCAAAGATGTGTCAACAGAGACCAGGGCTGAGATCATTCATACCCTCGTATTCCCAGTTATTATGTACGGGTGTGAAAGTTGGACAGTGAAGAAGGTTGATAAGGAAAAAACTTGATTCATCTGAAATATGATGTTGGAGGAGAGCTCGATGGATGCCCTGGACTGCTAGAAAAACAAACAAGGGGTTCTAGAGGAAATTAAGCCTGAAACATCTCTAGAGGCAAAAAATGACAAAACTGAAGCTGTCCTACTTTGGGCACATCATGAGAAGGCAGGGTTCTTTGGAAAAGACAGTAATGCTGGGGAAAACAGAAGGCAGCAGCAAAAGAGGAAGACCAAACTCAAGATGGATTGACTCCATAAAAGAAGCCATAGGCATGAGTCTACAGGAGGTGAGCAGGGCTGTTGAGGATGGGACGTTATGGACATCACTCATTTGTAGGGTCACCAGGAGTCAAGCTGACTCAAGGGCACATAACACACACTGCTTCAAAACCCATCTGCGGTCCAGAGCAGCCTTGAAGCTGGGAGCTCAGCTCCCCAAATATCACATTTATCTCAATTTGGCAAGAAGCTAAAAGCCTATCTGGGGCCATTTAAATTCTAATGTTATTAAGGGCTCATCTAATCAGCTTTTAAAGTAAGCTGCTTTCAAATGCATGGGGAGCGAAGGTAGGGGAGCAGTAGGCTGAGGGAGGCAGCCTGGGAAGTGCATCTTGGTTTGAATTGTTAAAGAGTCGGCAAGCAACCAACACTTTCTTACTGGATGACCTCTGTCATTCCAACACCAGACCAAGCTGGTGAACAGCCATCTGTGAGTACAGGGGCAGAGGGCTCCTCTGGACAATCCATGCTCTCCTGTAATGTCCAGTGTACACACGTAACAAGGGTTGGCAGAGAAAGATGACTGGCCTCCATGCCAGGAGGTGGCTTTGAGATTTCATCAGAAGAGCAGCTGGTGCTTCTGAGAATGACCTCTAACACTGCATCCTGTGGATTTCTGAGAAGTCCTGCCCTCAGGAGGCCGGCAAGACCCACCACCCCTGCCTGGACCCACTGGCAGTTGTAAACTGGCTTCAAGGGAGGCCCCGCACATCTGACGTGGGTTTGATGAGACTACTGTTAGTCCTAAACTAAATGAAACTTAACTCTGGGGTATTTATGGTTCTGATGTGCTTTGGGATGACCAATCTGATTCTGACACCAATTCTGAGGTTGCTTCCCACCTCCCCCCACCCCCTCCCACACACACTAAGCAATTCTCTGCAACACTTAATTCTGACACCATCTACCCAGAGAGAACATCAGATTCCACAAGTCAAGGGCTCAGACCCACCAGACTGTCCTCCACTTCAGATGCCAATCACAAGTCCAGGTTGTCACCTCTGTTTCTGACCGACTGGATACAGATTGGAGGTTCCCACAACTCCCTCCCTGGTTTCCATTAATTTGCTAGAACAGCTCAAATAATTCAGGAAACCCATTTGCTCACCAGATTACTGGTTTATTACAAAGGATATTAAAGAATACAAATCAACAGCCAGATGAAGAGACCCATAAGGTGAGGTCCCAATCAAAGGAGGCTCTCTGTTCTCATGGGAGCTCTTTGGACCCCAACCTTTTGTTTTTTATGGAGGCTTTATTGCATAGGCATGATTGATTGAATCATTGACCATTGGTGACTGAACTCAATCTCCAGCCCCTCTCCCCTCCCCATAGGTCAGGGGTGGAACTGAAAATGTCAATCCTTCAATCACATGTTTGGGTCCCTTGGCAACCAGCCCCCATCTTTCGGGGATTTCCAAAAATCATCTCATTAACATAAGGCAGGGGTGGGGAATGTGGGGCCTGAGGGCCATATAAAGCCTGTGAAATCATTTGGTCTGGCCCTGCCAAGGCATTAAGGGGTGAGTCAATTAAATATTTGACCAAGTATAGCAGGCTAGTTTTTAAGTTATAATTTTTTATGGCCCACAAATGATATAAATATCCAAATGGCCCTTGAGAGAGAAAAGGTTTCCCACCCCTGATAGTGAAAGGTGTTTGCTGAAATATCGACACCTTTATCTTTCTTATCACATTTAGGAAATGCCAGGTTTTAGGAGCTCTGTGCCAGAAATGGGATGAAGACAAATATATATTTCTTATTATACATCACAATGCCATAGCCCTTCTTTAAACACCAAGCTCATCCTTGCCTTTCGAGAACATTCTCTGATCCAGCCTGCGGATTGGTGCCCTGGGAAGGACTGGGAAGGACTGGGCAGGGTAAAGCTCGCTCCAGAAAGGATACGGTGGTTCTCTTCCTACTGCCTGCCCCCTGCACACTGACTTCTCAGATTCCTGATAGGGTCCGGGCTCCCTCCTTTATACTTCCAACCCCTCCATCCAAACCTTCAGATACTTGTCAAGCTAATAACTTGTCTCACCTTTACACCAAAATTCTTGAAATATTTATTCAACATCGATTTAGAGGAGGATGACAGCACCCCAGATCTATTCCCACTGAACCCACCTTATTTGGAAGTCAGGTTAGAGGGCACTATTTTCACTTGACCAAGTTTCTCTTGCGGAGGGGGAGGACCTTAAGCTTTCAATGCAAGTGGTTTGTCAAATATTCTTTTAGCTATACAAGTACTTTGAGCAGAGTGTTAATAAGTAACAAGGTCTCCATCTTAATGCATTTCCAGTGATGCTCTCATTGTGACAACCACCCCTAGTTGTCATGAGGTCCACCCCATGCCAGCTCTGCTTGGTTGCAGACAACTTAATCTCAACCAGCTCTTAGCCTAGAAGCACCAAAATTAGCAATTCGCTCTCAAGTGTGAATGACTGCTAGCCAGCTTAATGCAATGATAAGTCTGGTGGGTTTGTACACTCAAAGGTGTTTTCAATGGCCTGAGGTCCTCTGTAGTCAAGTGGCCCCAAGTGAGGCAGGATATCACTAGGATACTCTGTGCTGATTTTAATATGGGACTTCTTATCATTATACAGGGATGGATAACGAGCTCACGGTACATCTGAGAAAGGAAATGTGTTTTTTTCCAGAACAAACTTTAGCAACCGTATCAACAAATTGAGAGAGAAGGCTGTGGGTATATTATCATTGTTCTGTACAATAAAAAAAGGACCTCGCCGGTTTGAAAAGTTCCCAATTCAGTATATCAAGTTTGAGTGCCAGGAAGAGTTATTAAGGGAGCATAATATTCACCGTGCCTGTCAGCTCTGTGAATCTGAGAGCCTTCTCCCACAGACCATTTTTTTAGAGGTTATTATTTCAACCTGAAAATTCTTTAGACATATATATGTGGTATGAAAAAGGAATTAGGAAAGCCTTTAAATTAAAAGAAATAAAACGACAGGGTTTTCCCGAGCCATATAAATAGTTATGGATAGAGATAAAGGGATGGATATTTTTTCATAATGGTTTATAAGAGGTTTGGAACTCCAGAAATGTTCGAGTCAGGCTGGTGAATAATTTAGTGACTGATTCATGCGGCCCAGGCGGGCGCGGTTGGGTCGGAATCAAGTTTAGCCTCCTGGAGGGGGTGAGCGCAGTAACACACTTTTATTACCAACCACATCATGAAATGCATTTCAGAAATATTTTATGAGAAGCCCAAACAGTGGTTTTCTCCAGCTTTTTCCACGACAGCCTGAAGCCGAGGAGCTAATGCTCCTGACCCCTCCTTGCAGGGGACCGTCTCCAGGCTGTTGTTGCAGACACAGTCTCAGATCCCTGGGAATGTGCAGACCCTAGGGAAAGCCTCACACTGGCTATTGCAATGATGGATAGTAAAAGAGTCACAGGAAATGGTACCTTCAGCGATGGTGTCTTTGATGCTCTCTCTGCCCGCAGGTCTTTAACCCTAACACCTGGAGAGCCTGCCTCTGTGCAGCTGCGATGACACGGCCACCTGAAACGGGAATAGGAAGAAATACTTTATGGTTTCAAAACAAGGAACCTTGGTTTCCCTTCCCATCCCAATGCCATGTCTTCTTTTCAATACACTGGGAGGTACAGCATGCGGATTTCTAAAGCAAAGCAAACCATTATTTATTAGTTACTTTTGCCTCTCCAGAGAGTTCTATTTGTTTCAATTATCTTCCTTTATAAATCCTAACAGCTTTGCAATAAAGTGGTAAATATTTAAGACAAAAATTCTGTAGAAAGATTCTAAATCCAGAAATGTGTTGTATGTAGTAAATAGATTCGGAGATCTTTGAAGGTGGCTGTAGTCACCTGCTCAGATGATCTGATTATGACCAAAGCTTGATACTTCCCCTGGGAAGCCACTCATCCCTGGAAGCTAAACCTGGGGCCCCCTTAAGTCCTTAACCTCTGAGGCTTCCTATGTCAAGAAAGTCACCACTTACTTTACAGCTCTTCCTTGGAGCTGTTCTCACTCTGAACTCTTAACCCCTCAAGGGCAGACTCTCTGTCCTGCTCACTTCTTCTTAGCTCTTGTCCCAAGCACAGTGCCAGCACACAACAGCTCAAAGAAGCAGTGGCATTGATTGTAGGGGGCAGTTTCTGTGCCAGCAACTTGTCCGTCCCTTTAAGCAGGGTTCCTATGCAGAATGTGGACCAGGTGCCCCTACCAGATTACCAGGGATCATCGACACAGGCCCCAGGAGAATGATTCTGCTGCCGAGGGCTTGCTTCCCACAAATCCTCTGAGCCCTCTCCAAAGAACACAATGAGCCTCAGGAATCTCATTTAGAGGTGCCTAAAGAGGATGTATTTGCAAAAATCAAGTAGCACTGAATGGTTGAAGGCATAAGCCTTTGGCAAAGGTATAGGCTTGCTGGTCTAAGTTATTCCTGAATAAATCAATCTTCCCCAGAGGACCTGATGGAACCTTGGAATTAGAGGAAGCGGAAAAATCACTTAGTTCTGGAGGAATGAATAGATTTTATCGCTGGTGAATACTCTAGCACATCTGCAGTGGCTGCCTAGAGAGTGGGGCTGGGTAAGAACCCAAGGCCGCCAGGAGGGAGACTGGTCATCAATGGTGCACCAGGGCCCAGAGCAGGGAGATGCTGCAGGTGATAGAAATGCCAGGTATTTTCCTTCTCCAATTCTAATCTGGCTGCTCATGAAATGGAAGACTTACAGGTCCTTTGGACAGTGTCATTTGCAGCCTCTTTTCCAGGCAGATAGCTCTGATATTACAAAGTCTCTCTTCCCATGAAATTACAACTTTCTCTTTTTTTTGCTTCTAGCCACTAATCCCCTTTCCCTCTCATCTATCTGTGAGGTGGTCCCTCACTCTTAGAAAGCTGGTCCTATCTCTTTTGAAACAACTAAGTCAAAAGCCATCATAAGTATTGGCAAAATCCCCTTTATTTTTGTTCATCAAACATTGATACCTTTGACGCGCTATTTTATCCTTATTTCTCCAACTACATGTAGGCATGCCATTCATTCATTCAACTCGCATATATTACTGCACTTTACATTTCTTTCCATGATGTTCTTAATATTATAAAAGCAGTAAATGCCCATTGTAATAAATGAATTCATATGTAGATGGATAGAGGAAAAGTTAATCCTTTCCTTCCAGTCTCAGCCCTTGAGGTAACGTATTCATAGACAAGTACGTATCCTGCCACAGTCATAAGTCAGGTTCCCAGGAAAGACAGTGTATGTGCATGAAAGGTTTACTTCCACCCACTACTTCCTTTCCTGGGGCGGGGTGGGGGGTTACAGGGAGTGGGAATGACCAGAAGAGCTCAGGAGCTGTTCTGCACTGAAAAGGGAGAAGCCTTTGACCCCCCCATCAGTCTTTGGGTCTGAGCAGCCCCAGAAGAGGGGACAGGCACAACCTTTGGCAAAGCAGCTTCCTTTGGCTGAGAGCAACTCTTGAAGAGAAACTCAGCTGTGAGCTGACAGCGGCCAACACTCCCAGCAGCTGTGGGTTGATAGTCTCAGTTAGGGGGTGCCCCATAGTACCCAGCACATCCACCCTCCCTTCTGCTCGTTTAAACCTAACTATGCACAGATATACAGATATATGGGGTGTTTTATTTATCGTTTTTAACTGAAATACTCTGTAACTTGTTTTGACTTAACATATGTACATCATCATTTTCCCCTAATTTATTTATGCATACATAACTGTACTTTATTTAAACAAAGACCAAATTATGCATCCAGCCTTTTTTTAGTGCAGTCTCCTTATTTTCTTCTCTGTCGCTTGTCTCTCTCCACCTCCTCTCCCTCCTTCGCTGTCCACACCACCCTCCTCCCCCCCCCCCCCGCCATGTGGACAGCAAGGAATGGATACTTTTGTACTTTCCTTCATGCTCATACAACCACATGCATACATATGTGTGTATGAGTGGTGCACTCAGGTTTTTGGTCATTGGGAGCAACCATTTATTAAGAGCCTTCTGAGTGCCCAGGCCTGCGCCAGGCACAGGGCATACAAGAAGACTTAGCCTCCACCCTCAAGGAGCCCTGCCCACAAGGGAGAGGGATGAGGGAGTGGCGGCCATGACAGGATGAAGTCACTGAGGGAAGCATGCACCAAACACAGCCATTTAGAGAATTAGTGCTAGAGTGCAGGGCTCCTGTGTCCCAGTCCTGGATGCTTTCCCATTTCATCAGCTTTAAAAATCAGGTTTCAAACTGTGGGCTGCACAATGGCCACACTGAATTCGAGCAAGTGTGTGCCGAGCTTCCTGTGGTCATGCCCGCTCGCACATGGTGGTCCTTGTGATACAACCTGCAGCACCTCACTAACAGATCCATTTCACCTGAGCAACAAGCCACACAGCCCTGGACAGATGCCATACAAAGGCCTTTTCTTGGAGTAGATTTTCATATAACCTGTGTCAAGGGGAAGAGTTATTATAACAAAAATTGACACGGCTGTGTCACAGTGTGGGCAAGTATGCCTGCGGCACCAAGTTCCAGAATCAGCAGCAGAGATAAACATCAAGTGCAGAATGCATGCTCCCAAATCCTTTTAACCTACACACTTCCAGGGGTGGAAGGAGGGAGAAGGACATGGAACCACAAGAGATGTACGCATATACACAGGACTAAGGAGCATGTTGACCTGGCTCCCTGGCAACCTCAACAAACTGACATGCTCCTTCTGTCCATTCTCTCTACCCACTCACTCACTTGCACTTCCCCGCTAAGTGCCCAGACTTTTTGTTCATTCCATTTTCTGAGGTGACCTTGTAATAGCTCATCACTGGGGGGGAAGAAAGTTTCCCTATGAAATGTGTCCCAAAAATGAGCATATTTTCTTTCCTCAACCAATGTTGATCCCTCTTCTACTGCATGTGTGTTCAGGACCCCAAGGGGCTTGGACTTTTTCCACATGGGGTCCCTGGCCCTGATGGCCCAGGCAGGATCCATGGATCTGGGCATCCCAGGGTGCAGCCCAGGAAGCCCTGCTGACTCCAAGCACAGATTTTCTCCAAGGCCCTGTGTTTTTCCCCTTTGGCCTCAGTGAATCATAGACAGAAGAAAGACCCTGGTGAGCCAGGTGAGACACATCAACCGAAACCTTACAGAGGTTTCTGACTTCACGGCACAGTTCATTTTGATAGTCTGTATATACCTTGGTACTTGGTTGGATTAGGTTTGTTTTCTGCAAATCGCTAGTCATGTTCCAGTAATAGCCATGTGATTGTAAGGATATTGATCAGCTCTCTATACAAACTACCCAATATACGAAAGCATCATATATATATATATATATATATATATATATATATATATATATATATATATATTTCTCACAGCAGTTAGTTGCTGAAAATGGATCAGATTTTGAATGGCTATCAAACTGTACCTACTCATCTTAATGAGAAAATGGGGAACTGCGACAATTATCAGTGATCTCACTGATATCCAGCTCCTAAACTCACAAGCTCTCCTACCTGAAGAGACCTTGAATGACTATAGTTTGGGGCTTCTACTTGCAGGCACACATGTTTGAATATTTCTTAAAAGGATTTCTCTGACCCACTGGTATTGGCAAGATGTTTCAAACCAGCAAGATGTGGAAAGTTCATGAATGTTCAATTATCTGTTGCTGCATAACCACTTACCTCCAAACTCAATGGGTTAGAACAGTAAAAATTATTATTTCATGGTTTCTGTGGGTCAATAACTTAGAAGTGGATTACCTGGGTGGTTCTGGCTCAAGGTCTCTCATGAAATTTCAGCTAAGATGTTGACAAGGGCTACTGTCATCTGAAAATTTGATTCCAAGGTAGCTCATTTACATCCTGCTGGGTGTTGCAAGAGGCCACCCACATAGGCCTCTCCAGGGCTGCTTGAGTGTCCTCCCAAGATGGCTGGCTTCCCCCAGGATGAGCAATCAGAAGGAGTTAGGTGGGAGTTACAATGTCTTGTATGACCTTCCTTACCATCATTTCTGTAACATACTATTGGTTACACAGATTGGACCTATTTAAAGAGGGAAGAGACAACACAAGGGTATGAATACTAGAGAGCAAAAATTAATTGGGGGTCATCTTGAATGCTAGCTAACACAAATGCTTTTTAACTTCATCAATAATGATAAAGACCTGGAAGAAAGCATTTCTGTTTCTTGTATCTCTATGGAACAACACATGGAAGCACATGGAATTTGGCTCGAATTCTAGCTCTTACCAGCCATACACTTTTGGAAAAGATATGTACTTAATTCCTTTTCTAATCTGTAAAGTGGGAACAATGACGTTTCCTTATAGGACTGCAATGAGGTTTAACTTAGAAAATAGATGTAAAAGGCTTTAACTCAGTGCATGGAGAAGATAGGAGCTCAAAACTTTCCTCCTAATTCCATCACCTGAGTGGTGTGGTTTAAGGACTCTAACCAAGAGTCAGTTTTTCTCCCCTGGTTTCCAAGCCAAACAAGGGGCTCAGCTTTGGAAGTTTATGTTTTAT